GCTTGAATTGATTGGTTTTTAACCTTATGTTAGTACATTCTGACTGTGTTAAAACAAGATTTGCCAACGAGACAAAGTTGTTTAGTCTTCTTTCAAGAACTGTTGCTTTATTTTCTCATTCTAAGGGAGATTTTTCTTGTATCTTATTAAAACAAGATCATTTTGGCAATTTTTGTTTTAAAGCTTGGTCAGAATGTGCTCAAAATACAATACATTGGGCCAAAGTTGAGCAATTTTGGACTCACTTTTCATCTCCTACTCCTTTGCTGTGTGTGTGTGTGTGAGAGTGTGTGTGGGTGTGAGAGAGTGTGTGTGTGTGTGTGAGAGTGTGTGTGTGTGTGTGTGTGTATGACAGGAGCGCACCTCTGTCTGCTGTAGCGGCGTTTAACTCAAGTGCTATTGAATTAGAAATGAGAGACTGGAGTGCTCTCAGATCGCACATATGCGGTTTGTGGCGGAAATGTTGGAAACGGTGAAAACGGCGGCGGGTAATCAAGATCCACATTCTTTCAATAACTTTACAAAGCATAAACACAAAAATAAGACATGTTGTTTGTGGACGAGTCTCTCAATGGCTTCGCACCAAAGGACATCTGCGATATGTTAGTGCCATATGAACCAACTGGGGACTGGCCTCCTGCTGGGACTCTGAGGAGCACAGGGACTGGCCTCCTACTGGGACTCTGAGGAGCACAGGGACTGGCCTCCTACTGGGACTCTGAGGAGCACAGGGACTGGCCTCCTACTGGGACTCTGAGGAGCACAGGGACTGGCCTCCTGCTGGGACTCTGAGGAGCACAGGGACTGGCCTCCTGCTGGGACTCTGAGGAGCACAGGGACTGGCCTCCTGCTGGGACTCTGAGGAGCACAGGGACTGGCCTCCTTTGAGTTAGCTTAATATTGAAAATTTGTATTGAATATATTTTGGAAGTACTAAATATACACGGAAAGCACTCATAGAGCATAGACCTCTGCCAAGAAGCACGGTGGCTAAGTGTGCGGCTGCCGGATTCGTCCCGGAAACCGGATTTGTCCGGAAGTTCAGTTTGCGCATGTCAAAAACTGTAAATAAACATGTAAACATGTCTTGTTATATACAGATTATATTCTTGATTTGTGCTCATATGTATCAAGGTTTACTACGAGAAATGGTGGAAAAAGAACTCAGAGAAACAATACTTTTAGTAGCCGCGCAGCTAACGCCCAGATGCGTTCAAAAGCACACGGAAATGTGGGAAACACATAGACAGTTTAATTCTTGATTAGATTCACTGTCCTTTACTTGTTTAACTAATAAATAAATGTGTTCAACGTGACTTGACTATGGATGTATGAATGTACGAGACAGTGAATCTAATCAAGAATTAAACTGTCTGTGTTTGCCTCATTTCTATGTGCCTTTGATCCTTTGCGCTACTAAAAGTATTTCTTTTTCCGCCATTTCTCGTAGCAACCCTAGATATATATGAGCACAAATCAAGAATATAAACTGTCGATTTGCCAACACAGATCAGAGAATCAAACACAGGAAATGCAGTAATAAAACACACATAAATGTCCTTGAATGTTGAGTATCTTGGATCTTCACCACTGTCCTAGACCAGACTCCAAAAACCCTGTGGGAGAAAGTTAGATGGATTTGATTTCATAGCTTTGAATGTGGTTTGAAATTCAAGTCTCCCAGCTTTAAGCATCAAAATTCATCCAAAACAATTAAGATGTTTGGAATTTTTGATTAAAAGCACAGCCTACTAATCATGCCATATTTTCCCTCCTCGCTGCCACTGCTCTGCACCAGCCCCACATTAATTATCAATGGCCTCTGCTGCCTCAAAACTATTGGAGAAAAAACAATCAGTAAATAAACCAGCAGCTGATCTCAAATGCAAATGTATGAAAATGAAGTAGCCGCGGGTGATCGTGGAGCCGTGTCTGTCTGCGAGGCGTTCAGGTGCGTTCGTACGTCTCAGTGTTGTTTTGGCGGAGGCTCAGCTGCTGTTGTGGTAATGGAGTAGAGGGATACATATTAAGTACTGAGAGAGACCAGAGAGAGACCAGAGAGGGACCAGAGAGAGACCAGAGAGAGACCAGAGAGAGACCAGAGAGAGACCAGAGAGGGACCAGAGAGAGACCAGAGAGAGACCAGAGAGAGACCAGAGAGAGACCAGAGAGAGATCAGAGAGACCAGAGAGAGACCAGAGAGGGACCAGAGAGGGACCAGAGAGAGATCAGAGAGGCTAGAGAGAGAACAGAGAAAAACCAGAGAGAGAACAGAGAAAAACCAGAGAGAGGTCAGAGAAAGACTAGAGAGAGACCAGAGAGAGACCAGAGAGAGACCAGAGAGAGACCAGAGAGTGACCAGATAGAGACCAGAGAGAGGCCAGAAAGAAATCAGAGAGAGGCCAGAGAGACCAAAGAGAGACCAGAGAGAGACCGGAGAGAGACCGGAGAGAGAGACCAGAGAGCGACGGGGAACGAGTCGTAAAACAAACCCGAGGATTAAGAGTACGTGTTGCGTAAAGAATAAAAACACAAGATTAAGGGTTTGTGCTTATTCACAGTTTGCTTTAGTACAATGTTTTTTTGTGTGCAAGTTTTGAATAAAGATTAGTTGAAGCAAAAAGCAAATTTTAATCCAATCTCCTCGCAGCCATTCAGACACATACTAAAATATTCCCTCTCCACCTTGAACTTCACACACAGACACAAGCCGACACATTTAAACATTCATAAAAGAAATTGCGGTCTAGATAATATGACCTTTTTGGGTTTTTTTTTTAACCAGGAAACAAGAAGCTTACGTTTGTATTGGTATAGAAACATATTTTTGGTATATTTTGAATATGTATATATATTTTGTGTTTTTACTGTTGCTGTTTTCCACTTGTCTGTACAGCACTCTGGACGCCCAGGCTGTTTTAAATATTCAGATTATGCAGATGGCGTAACTATCGAAGAATCCAAACGCAAAGGGCATATGGATTATTTTCTATTTATCTATTTTTGCAGTGAACGCAGTGAGTCGGTCTGTGGATCTTTAAATGTAAAGGTTAGCATTTGAAGTTACCAGGAGGCATTCTGGCATCGAGCAACCGGTAAAATGAAATATGAATGAGACAAAACTGCGGAGACGGCAGACAGATTATGACGAACCTTGCAGATTTTGCAAACTGCCTCAAACCAAAGATTAAAAAAATAAAAAAACATTACAAAAAATTATTGTCCATGATATTCCTCTATGGCAGGAATGTCCAAACTCCAATTGCGACCCTCTCTGTCATATTATGTGATCCTCTGCGTCATCCAGCCAACTTCATCTTAGCACATATACGCAGGTTAACTTAAGCTCAGTACCTACAGTACAGTATGTTTTTAATTGTATATCCTGGCATTGATGAAGCTGGTGAGATGTTAATTTGTCATTCAGCCAACTTTAGCTCCATCATAGGTAATTATAAAGCTCAGAACAACCCGAATCCAGGTAAAACTGTTCTACACTCTGAGTTGTCGGCCCCTGGATAAACCGAGATATGTCGATTGTCCTGGATCATCACCACTGTCTTTGGACCCTCCTGCATCGGCGAGGAACAACTTTGAAAACACAATGGGAGAAAAGTGAGAAACCTCAGGGAGTCCCACATTGAGAAAGGGGGATTCGCTCCCACAGGTTGATTGGCTGTAGATCCTGGACTGAGGCTGTAGAACAAGGACCAAGGCCACGTGATGCAGGACTGAGGCGGCTCCCAGGCGGGGAGGGGGTGCAGCCCTCGAGTCCGGGCCTGGTGAGACAATCCACAGGTAAAGGTAAAGGTGTACTTTATTTATCCCCGTAGGGCAACAGGTGTCGATGGAATGAGGCTGGGTTCAGGGGTCCCATCATCACTGCCTGAAACAATGGGACAGCGGGTGATTAGCATTGAACAAACCACAGCTGAAGTCATAATGTTGACTGAAGCTAACGTACTTATCCTGCAAAGTGTCTCCAAATGCAACTTGACGGACAATCTGTGTTTTTAGACATACGGCTGTGTTTCTGAATCTGACCTGAGTCTTACCCACCTAACCATATGCTAAAGTAAGGAGGAATGTTTTAAGCCTGGCCTTGAATGTAGATACTGTGTCTGCTTCCTAGACGTGGATGAGGAGCTGATTCCACAGTTATGGAGTTTGGTAGCTGAACGCTTTGCCTCTGACTGTACTTTTTAACACTTTAGGAACCACCAAAAGTCTAGCGTTTTGCAAGTTCAGTGATTGTTTTGGTTAACATGATACTAACTAAAACATTTGAAAACACCCCTGAAATATGGTTTGAATGGATTCTGTGGGTTCTTCGACATGGCCACGTTTATAGGATAGGACACGGCTGGACTTAATACAGAAATACACGCAAGATTAAGACTTTAGAAGCACAAAAAATAACAATAATAATAATTATCCACGGATGGGAGAGAATGACCACTTTGTTACATACATTATTCCCGCTCTGACTGCGATCATCCGACGCACACGCCCGGCACTTGAGTTAATTTGAAGACAAAGAAAAAGAGGAAATGGGAAGAATCAGTTTGATCACAGTCCTCATTATTTCCTCTCTCGTAACTGCGGCAACGGAGTAATTACCGAACCTCCGTGTGGCTCCTGTTTAAGCGTGAGCCTCGAAACGCCGCTGGGTTTGATTGATGTTTCAGTCCTTTCCCTCTGCGTCTTATTCACTCGTACGTCTTTCATGTCCATGTCCGTGGCCTACATAGAGAGCGCCGAGAATATAAAACAAAAAAACGAGGGGACATTGAACGAGGGGCTGGGGCCGGAGACCTCCTGTGAAGACGGTTAATTGTTTACTTGACATCGGCGTTCACTCGGGCTCTTTGATCGTCCCGTTGAATGCATACAGATAAGATCCACGCGACAATCAATTAGGGCTCTACGTGTGTGTGTGTGTGTCCTCTTATCTTTGTGTCTGTCGTACACGAGGGTTTAGAGTCCAAGCCAGAGGCAACATGTGTGTCCTCGAGCTGAGGAAGATCAGAGGTGTTCTTCAGACTTGGTTGTTCACGTTGGAGGGTGATGTGTCCTGTGCGTTTGACCCGTCAGTCCTAGAGTCACCGAGGTTCGTTAGACTCCGTGTAATGGCTCAATTCTGGCCTTGAGGTAAAATAAAATAATGGATATTTTTGTATTGTATGGAGCAGAAGTCTCCAATATATAGCTCAAGGAACCAGGAGCTCACCTCCTCCTTCCATGCAGGATTTAGACTTTTCAAATACTATCCTCAATATTTAAAATTTTATTTTGAATATTCTTACAACTATTGCAAATATTAGATAGATAGATAGATGGATACTTTGTTGATCCCCGTAGGAGAAATTCAGGTGTCTAGTAGCAGCAAAAAAATGAAAATAAAGTTTGATCATTCTAAAAAGCTAACAATAGTAATAATCAGCAACAGCCCTTCAGGTCACAGCAGCAGAGGTGGAGTAGCCTCTGGGTGGAGCAGGACAGGTCACAAGGTGGAGTAGCCGCTTGGTTTGGAGCATTTTCTCTGCTCTAGTCAAATGAGCTAAATACTTCATTTGAATTAAAATAAAAAGTAAATATTAAACAAATAAAGAATCTCTTAATCTTAAATGAATGAATGAGTCTTTTTTGGACAATTAAAAAAACTAAAAAACCTATATGGGTATAATTTATGTACAATTAGTTCCCTAAAGGAATAAATAAAACAAACAATCATGTCCGAAAGGGAGCAGGAAGGAATATAATACTTATGTAACCCGGCCCCCTTTTTGACTCATCAATTTAACAACAACAAAACCATTCCGAGTTATCTTTACCTTAATAGATCATAGCAAAACAGATTGAAATAATACAAGACAGTATTTACTAACTTTCTTTGGAATCGCCTCAAGGACGTGCGCTCTGTCATTGTTAGTCTTGAAAAAGTAGCTCTTTGTTGGAAAAAGGTTGGAGACCTTTAATTTCTAGATTAGGAATTGTAACAACACATGGTGCATTAAGATTAAACACTTAAAATCAGATTTACTTTTTGTTGTGTTCAATGGTTTAATGGGGACGTTTTTTAAAAAGTATAAAACTGTAAAAGAGTAGAGGAGGAGATAAAAAGTGTCTATTATGAAGAAAAAAATCCACATTGCCAACGCCGGCAGTCGGGAAAGAGAACCAGAATCAGCAAAAAATACTTCCTAAGCCCTAATAGTATTACCTGTGGAGCTTAGCAAGTTTATTTGTATAGCACAATTCATACATAATACATCTTTTGGTGATTGTGACCATTTGTAAAGTCAAAATTCCGCCACAAATTTGTCCAAACACAGACGTCTGTTGAAGATTCTGATCCTGTCTGAATCTACGTCTCAGTGATTGTTAATGCTGTCGCCAAATTTTCTAACTTTCTGCGTTGTTTTCTGTCAATGTCTCGCACTTCTTTCCATATCTCTTCTTGGCTCGTACAATGGAGGCTGCGGTAGAAATATTGATTCGAAGTTTTGACAGTTTTTTTAGCTGCAAATTATAATACAGCATCATATCGCAGCATGGAAACCGATCTGTATAAAAACGATGAGAGATCTAAGGAGAGACACATGTTGAGCTGCATGCCGATGAGTACATTCTGATGGCGCATCCTCAAAAGAAAGAAAAGAAAGCACCCATGAGCATGAACAAGTCAAAGTAAACAGACAAATAATACTGTACATTTGTGGCAGATGGATGTGGACTCTGAGAATTAACAACTTTAAAGCATTTCTTTCTTTCCTTCCAACAAACTGTCCATATACTGTATATATATTGTTTTGACTGGCATTGAAGCATTTACAGTCTTTACAGCTAGTTAAGAGACATACTACTTATTTTGTATATTTTGTGTGCTCCCTGTGTGTCTCTTACTACTGTCCTGTCTGTGCGCTGCAACATCGAAATTTCCCCACTGTGGGACAAGGTCCTCTTATCTTATCTTATAAAGACAACATGGTCAGCAGTGGATCCTGAATCACAAATACATCAAGAATCAAACCAAATGTGATGTTCTTAAGTGTAACCAAAAGAAATCCGAGATAGATCACGGTTCAATGGTTGGTGAAAAAGTAGATCTTGGTTTGATAAATATTCACTAACTCATTACATTCAGACCTATTGTATATGTTTTTAGTGGTAGGGGAAACCGGAGCACCTGGAGGAAATCGGAGCACCTGGAGGAAACCGGTGTGTGTGTGAATGGTTGGTGGTGTTCGGAAGGGCTGATGGCACAGACTGGTTGCCTCACTTCTGTCAGTGTGCCCTAGGGCAGTGGTGGCTACAGTAGTTGTTTACCACCACCGTGTCTGGGTAGGTGTCTCCAATCTTTTTCACCTGGAAAGCTACTTTCCCGGGGTAATAAAGGCAGCTAACTCCTTTGAGCCCTGGGAAAAATGTGGTGATATAACGAGCCTGATATTGGGTATTATTTATCATGGTATATTTGTAAGGAAATTCCTCATGAAT